AGTAAATATTGTCGCTAGGTGAAAATAACAGAATACAGGACGACGGTGCGACCAGAAAAAACGAGGTCTGTATTAACAGAACAAAAGAGCAGCCGCTTCGACTTCTTCTTCCTCGGAGGAACCATGGGTGCTGTCCACGCTCATCACTTCATCGTCCTCTGTCTTCTTTCCCGGCCTTTAGCCGTGACATTAGCCTCCCATCCAAGAAAGCATCGTCCCGATGCTTCATAATCAAAGCGGTTTGTACTCGTTGGAAACGCACGAGTTCATTCGGAGAAATAAGGCTTCATGCGTACCACGTGCACAACTTCTGGAGCATACCTTCGACGCTTTGAAGAGTGCGCAGTATCAGGAACAACCTCATCATTAATGTCACTGAGACGTCGCAGAACTTTGTAGGGACCGAAATACCGTCTTAACAGTTTTTCTGAGAGGCCACGGCGCCGAATAGGTGTCCATATCCAAACTTTCTCTCCTGGCTCGTACGAGACTGGTCGGTGACGAAGGTTGTACCGTCTTGAATCGTAGTCCTGCTGGCGACTAATACGTAGGCGTGCAAGTTGTCGGGCTTCTTCGGCCAGCTGAGTGATATAATCAGCATCCGTTTCAGCGTCTTTGCACTCGTGCGGCAGCATAGCATCCAGCATAGTGGTGACTTCACGACCATGAAGAAGGCGGAATGGCGTTGTTCTTGTTGTTTCTTGATGAGCCGTGTTATAGGCGAACGTGACATACGGCAAGATCTCGTCCCAGTTTTTATGCTCCACATCGACGTACATGCAGAGCATATCCGCTAGTGTCTTGTTGAGAAGCTCCGTAAGACCATTCGCTTGCGGATGATACGCCGTTGTTCGCCGGTGGGATGTGCCACTAAGTTTTAAAACTGTTTGTAATAGTTCGGCTGTGAATGCAGTTCCCCTGTCAGTTATTACCACTGATGGAGCACCATGCCTCAGCATCACATTCTCTACGAAAAATCGGGCTGCTTCACTTGCCGTGCCCCTCTCCAAAGCCTTGGTTTCGGCGTAACGAGTGAGGTAGTCGGTGGCGACTATAATCCATCTGCGACCTGCTGATGAGGTTGGAAATGGGCCCAAAAGATCCATTCCGACTTGAGCAAATGGAGTAACAGGCACGTCAATAGGATGGAGGAGGCCTGCTGGTTTGACGGGTGGAACTTTTCTGCGCTGGCAATCAAGGCACGTCCGAACATAGTGTTGAACGGTCGCTGTCAGTCTTGGCCAGTAGTATTTCTGCCTCACTCTGCACAACGTACGCGTGTAACCCAGGTGGTCGGATGTTGGTTCATCGTGGCATGCCTGTAATACTTCGCTCCTTAGAGATGTTGGGACGACGAGTAAGTAGTCGTTTCCGTGTGGCGTGAAGTTCATCTTATACAGGACGTCGTTGCGCAAGCAAAATGACGAAAGCCCTCTCGCAAACAGTCTAGGTACAGCTGAAGTGCGACCCTCTAAAAACGTATTATGGGTTCTAGTTCAGGGTCGTCTCGTCGCAGCTGTGCGACAGTTGCCGTGTTTACAACTCCGACAAAGGCTGTATCGTCATCTTCTGCCGTCGCAGGTTCGTATGGCGCACGAGAAAGGCAATCAGCGTCTGAATGTTGCTTCCCCGATCTGTAGACCACCGTCATGTCAAATTCTTGAAGCTTCAGGCTCCAGCGCGCCAACCGTCCTGAAGGGTCTCTTAAATTCGTCAGCCAGCAGAGGGAGTGATGGTCGCTGACAACATTAAAAGGACGACCATACAGGTATGGGCGGAATTTTATAACCGCCCACACCACCGCAAGGCACTCTTTTTCCGTAGTGGAATAATTTTCTTCCGCACGTGAAAGAGTTCTGCTCGCGTAAGCAATTACTCGTTCGGCGCCATCCTGCCACTGCACGAGTACAGCTCCTTAGCCGACAACGCTAGCGTTGGTGTGCACTGTTGTCGGTGCGTCATCATCAAAGTGTGCGAGGACAGGTGGCTTCACGTTCTCGCGGAGCTACCCGGTACGGGTTTTGCCTGATGGGTATGGTCATGTCGTCCGTTATAATTCGATGTTTCGTCAGCGGCGTTTGACGGACCCTGGAAATCGAAGAGAAACAATCTTCAAACTTGTTAATAAGCTGCATTATACTTTGCTTCTGCGCCGGCCGCAAGCTTGGGCCAATATCAACAGATAGAGGTGTGGGGGTCAGATCAGTTGAATTATCTTTTTCAAGAGTTAGGCAGCCTGTCATCTCGGCGAGCTCTTCCACGTACGCGACTGCCATGCCCCTCGTTAGATGTCGGCGTTCAGAGCTGAAGTTCGTAACAAGGACGTGCGTGTGTCCGCATTTTATGCTTACTACGCCTCTTGCGATAGATAAACCATGGCTGAATAGCAGTGTTGGAATTTGCTCGGCGATGTTTTCAGAATCGCTCGACGTGTCACATGTCACAGCCCCGAGTGCACTCGATCTTTCATGCAGTTGGGCGCATTTTCGCTATACAAAATAATTTGAATTTTTTTCAACTTGCCTCCCTATTTGAGTGACAGTTTTTTATGATAAAAATATTTTTAAGAATGGGTAAATCAAATTTCCACATCTGTTTAGTTTCTTTTTGCGACGATTACTCGCTTGTTAGCTCGGCAGATTCTGCCAACTTTCCATTTGGAGCAGCCAATCGACTGGATCTATGACAGCGGGTGACTGACGTCGGACCGCACGTCATGAATTTCAAAAAGTTTTTTTCGTATTTTCGATACATCGGCTAAACAAATTTTTCTCAAATTTGGGTGGCTATATAGGTCACTGCCCGCTGTTCAGAAAACAATGTAAAGAATACTCACGGATTGAAACAGGGCACTCGGAGCGTGTGGCCACCGTCGGATCATTGTGGAACTAAGGTGTCGCCACATGGAGCGAAGGGGAAACATCTACGCAGTATAATGGCTCCTTCTGGCCGCGAACGAGCCGGTCTGCAGTTCACCACACTATCACAGTGGCGCCGCGCAAGCCTTGCACGCTTCCGTATGCCATTCGAAATGGCCCTCCGATGCACCCCTCCAACACTGTAGCACAAGCAGTGAACGCCCTCATTACGAAAATTTTGGCGATGTGACCCGAGTGCTATGCAAGTAGGACAAAGAATTCAACTGAGAGCCTTACAGCGGGTGTCTAAGCAGTGCATTATGCTGATATTCAAGTGCAGGGCCCGCTATCGTCACGGTTATCAATCACAGTGACAAATCGTGGTGAAGTAAAGCAATCTCTGTATCCTTCTCACTTCCTTCACCCACGTTCTAAGCGCCCAATTTGCATCATGCGTCAAGCAGCGGCCCATATAGCGTCCACAAAAGCACGTAAGCCCCAATAACTTAGCTGAATCCTGTGTCCTACTTGCACAACATTCGTGCCACATCGTCGCTTCGTGTTATCAGCGTGACATGCCATTCTTGGTAGGAAAGTGGCGGGAGCCGGGGTAGGGCCGGTTCCCACACAGTGGCCGTTTGGGAGAGGCTATAGATACGGTTTGGACACTTGGGAGAGAGGGGTTGGACACATTGGAGAAGATATGGAAGAGATATGGAAGAGAATGTCACTACTTTCTGTATATTAAGGGATTTTAAAAGCGCGCGTAGTGAGAGCATCCCCCGCTTGTGACACAATGCGCATCGGCGGACCATTTCGGTTGTCATATGAATGCGCGCAAGGCTTGCGCAGTGCCACGCTGGCAGCAGAGGCATAGCCAGAAATTTTTTTTTTCTAGAGGGGGGGGGGGGCACCTCTTTCATTTCAAGGAGGGCACCCCTTTGATATTACCATTTTTTTCTATGCCATGGAGGAAAAAAATTCAGGGGGGGGGAGGGGGCACGGGCCTGGTGTGCCACTCCCTGATTACACCCCTGGTTGGCAGTGCGGTGAACTGCAGACCGGCTCATCGGCGACCGGAACTCTACTGCGTAAATGTTCTCTCCTTAGCTCCAAGCCACAGTGCAACACCTTGGTTCCACTATCACCCACGAGCGGCCCTGGATGTATACCGGCGGCCACGCGCTCAGAGTGAGTCCGCGAATACTGCACTACATTCTTGCTTTTGCTATTTATAAACTACGTAGGCTCCAGTAGATGCTGTTAGATATGTATGGGTGTCTTGGCCACTGGTGCTGGAACAAAGCCACCACCTGCATTTTTCTTTTGCGCGTTCGCTCGCTTTTCAAGCGCCTTTCCGCAATTAGCATCGATAGATAGATAGATAGATAGATAGATAGATAGATAGATAGATAGATAGATAGATAGATAGATAGATAGATAGATAGATAGATAGATAGATAGATAGATAGATAGATAGATAGATAGATAGATAGATAGATAGATAGATAGATAGATAGATAGATAGATAGATAGATAGATAGATAGATAGATAGATAGATAGATAGATAGATAGATAGATAGATAGATAGATAGATAGATAGATAGATAGATAGATAGATAGATAGATAGATAGATAGATAGATAGATAGATAGATAGATAGATCATTTGGGGGAAGGATCGCGGGCCGCTGCCGCGTATAGAGACGGGCAGACTGAAGAATGATTTGCTAGTGCGAGACAAGTCGTTTTTTTTCTCTCTCTCTTCTGTCACTTTAGCATTGATTTTTAGCTAGGATACCATTCACTCTGTGGTCAATCAAATGAGTCACACTTCATCAATGGAAGTGTCAAATTAATTAAGCACCAAGTTACTATATGTCGAGGTATCACACTTCGATTATTCATTTATTCTATTAGCCTGGATGTCTTACATAATATATGACAAAATAAAAATGTTCAATTGTATAACCAAAACAAAATACACTACGCACTCTACGATATGATTCTCGTAAAACACGTGGAATAAGTAAGCAAATTAATAAACAAAACTGAGGCAGCGATAGTGAGTGGGTTCAGAACAAAAGTGCGAAGTCCCCGATTGGTTCTTCGTCACAGATGTTCCACATAAACACGCCGAAATCACTCGAAAAAGGAGCACTTCTTTACCGGGTTCATCCGGCTGCCTTCCGAGCAATTGAATGCCTCGGCGAAAACGCGCGAGTTTCTCGCCACCTTATTGCAATCAGCCGGTACGAGGTTGCGGTCGCCGGGTCTTGCGCAGGACAGGTAGCACAACGTCATGAAGAACACCTTGTCCTCGGGCAGGTTCGGGGCCAGGGAGAGGGGCACGGTCTCCGCGCCACTAAGGTGCGACTCACTGAGCGCTGCGTATGCGATCTCCAAGGCCGGTACTTCAGGAAACACGGTCTCCTCGCCGTCGACCTGGCCGCACTTGGCCTTAGTACGAAACACCTCCAACGTCGAGTTTGACAGCAAGGAGTTCTCTTCCTGGAACGCTTGAGACGCCCACTTGATTCCTTCTTCGTCAATAGCCCGGACTAGCTGTATGGCGATAAGGAAAAGCAGGCCGCTGTACAGCATCGCCTGGGTCCCGTTCCGGTAGTAGGCCGGAGCTGCTGCAGCGCCGAGAGCCAGCTTCACGACATTGCTTATGTAGTCGTAGCCCAGATAGTCCGGCAAGCTGTTGCCCGGGAGAGACAGTGCCTCCATGTACTCCGATGTCTTGTTGATCCTCTTCAAGGCCTCGCGCACCTCTATCCAGTACTGGGCGAGAGACAGAGCTCCATCCTCGGGAAAGCCGACGTAGAGGACGTCCAGAGCGTTGCCCCGGAGGAGCGACTCGGGCGGCCAGATGTGCTTCCTGGTGGCCTCGAGTTTGTTGATGATCCGCGGCTTGCTGTACGCGTCCATCCAGCCGGTATCATTCACCTTACGCACGGCGGCTGATACGATGTGGTCGAAACCAGCGTCGATGACCTCTCGATCCCGCGCCGTAAACAGTGAAGATGCGCTGAGCGCGAGCACAAGCACCTTGTATGCGGCCTCAGCCATGAGCCCGCAGAACATGGGAAGCTGCTCCTTGGCCCTCACCTTGCTTCCGTAGTAGCCGACCAGGAGGGCGAAGTCCGCTACCGGGGAGCAGTACTGGACGATAAGCCACGCGAAGTACCGGTTCAGCTGCCGCGTTGTGTACTTGGTCACCAGCGTGAAGACCGTTCGCAGAAGCGCGATGTCGGAGACCGCGATCTCATCGTCACCTACAAGCTTCGGATCGAGGGACATGACGCCCTGGAACGCCTGCAACCAGTGCTGACTCGACGCGTTCGGTGCGTAGAGGCCGACGTCGCGGAACGGTAGAAGTACGGGTCTCTTGCGCGAGGACGCGGACACGGCCTGTAAGCTATCCAGGACGTCCTTTTCCATGACGCAGAGTTCCTTGACGACCGTCTCATTTACAAGAGGTCGCACGGCTACATTCGGGTAGAAGAGTTCCAGGAATTGTTCCCAGTACCGGATGTAAGACCGCTCGACGACTGCATGGTGGTATCTCATGATCGGCAAGTAGGCTCCGGGACCGATGACGACTCGGCGGTGGTGGCGGCCGGTAGAGGAGTCGGGACGCTGAGTCGTCAAGCTGACGGTGATCCAGAAGGGCGACTCCCAGAGGTACGAGAGTGCGACGGCAAGTTGCAGAGGGTCACGCAGCTCATCCGGTGGCTCTGGCCAACGCAGGCCATTACTCTCGATGAACGAACGGAAGAGAGCCATCTGGGACGCGTTAGAAGGGTAGTACCGCCGACACATTCGGTACATGGAGAGAGGCTTCCTTCCGGCGGGCAGCTGCAGTGCGCCTTGGGTCAAGACGCTTTCGAGGCGGTCGTACCAGGCGAACCGGAGGTCGTCCATGGCCGACTGGACCACGGGGCGCCGTTCGAGCGACCTCTTGTTCCAGCCGGAACAGACGAAAGCCTCGAAGTCATCGCAGGGGTCTAGCTTCCAGTCGATCTTTCCCGTGAGGAGAGCAGCGTGTCGGACGCAGTCTTCCGTCTCGCACAGGTAGCGGCTTTTGGCGCGCTTTTTCTGGATCGACGTGAGCGTGACGTAGAACACGACGACGATCAAACAAGTGGCGACGCAGGCGGTAGAGACGGCGAACATATCTGTCTTGGTCTTCGGCAAGCTTTCTTCTGGTGATTTCTCGTGAGCCTGAAAGAAAATAAAATGATGGATAATGATATTATCTGGGACTTAACGTCCCGAAACCAAGATATGGTTATGAACGACGCGCGGCTGCCGAATATTTGACCATCTGGTGTTCTCTAACTTGCAGTGACATCACACAGACTTCTACTATTTCGCCTCCAACAAAATGCGACCGATGCGGCCGGAACCGAACCCGTGACCTTCGTGTTTGCAGCCAACTGAGCACAAGCCACTGCTCCAACACGGTAAACAAAATTTTGAGGCATACTAGCTTTCTATTTGAATTCACAAATAGGTACAATCTGACGGACTGATTGAGCTTGCTTTCCTGAAAAGAACACCCGCGGACCACCGCTGTGGTGAAGACTATCTGGTACATACGAGCAAGACAAAGTGAAATCGACTGAGTGGCGATGTCGCAGATTGGTAGCTTTCCCGTTTACATTTTTTAAACTGTAATACAGTAGCCAGCCCTGCACCTGTTATCCACTTCATCCGCAGCTCATAAAAAGCGAGAAACTGGATTCCAAGAGACCTAATATATGATGATTCGTTTCAGGGGGTGGCATAACGTTAGGTGGACAGATGAGATGAATAGTAATTGGCATTTTACGTTTCAAAACCACGATATGATTAAGAGAGGTGTCGTAGTGAAGAACACCGAAAATTTCAACCACCTGGGGTTCTTTAACGTGCATCTAACCCAAAGCCCAAGGACCACTGTCTTTTTCGCCTCCAACAAAAGTATTCGATCCCGTGACCTAGAGGTCAGCAGTCGAATGTCTTAACCAGTAGACCTCCAAAGCAGGTTGCAGATGAGATAAAGAAGTTTGAGGGGGTAGCATGGCCTCAACAAGCACAGCAGCGGGTTGACCGCTGCATCATGAGAGGAGACCCTGCTGCGGGAGCAGTCAGGATGATGACGACGATAGCGGATTCATACGAATGAATTCAGCTCTGAAAATGCATTCTGCGTTTCATTACTAGACGTGTCGATATACCAATTTAAAAAATCCCCTACTTCCACCCGAAAGTGGAGGTGCTGATGTCGATAGCAATGCATCGAACAGTTACGAAAAGTGTCGTAGTTTCATAGGACCTACGGCTAGGTTGCTTTTTTTCTATCAATGCCATTTTTATTGTGAAATTTCTGCGATTTCAAGCTCTTGTCCTTTTCGTGTATTAGCTCTACGAGACAGAGATGCGCTGCCGTAGCCACAATTTTACTGAATTGATTAATCGGCAACTTGGTAATTACCTCTTCCAATATTTCATTACTTCAGGGTAATTGTTTATATGAAAAAAAAAAGTTGTCCGTGGCAGCTTATTCATTGACTTTTTATTTCATAAATTATGAAAGTTGTTCGTCAATCGAGATGTTTATCATATAATCGTACAGACGATATCCAAGCTGACTGCTTCCGGCGCACTGAAAACGCGGCAACTCGGTTACGTCAAACTGGGACTTCCCTTGACAAGATACGTCGTGTGCGTGTTGTCTAGAGACAACAGAGATACAGCACACACACGCACGCACACACACTGCACACACAAACACACACGCACTGAATCCACAATTCTCTCGACATTCATGTGTAAAGAATTGAGGTGCTCACTATCTGCACGAGGTCGGACAGCGGGTACATTCCCGGAGACATGGACTCATCTCGACCCGGTGACGTTGGTGACATTGGAGTCTTAGGTGGTGCTGGCAACGGAGCTTTGCCGTTCATGTGTAGGCCTTGTACGTCCTGTAAACGTTCGTCTTGTAGTTAGGTCATGCGTTTTTTTTTGTTTGTAGAATCACTGCTGCATATCAAATAATAATATATGGAAATTCACGTCCCAAAACTACGATATGATTAGGAGGGACGGCGTAGTGGAGGGCTCCGGAAATTTCGACCACCTGGAGTTCTTCAACGTGCACCCAAATCTGAGCATACGAGCCTACAGTATTTTCGCCTCCATCGAAAATGCAGCCGCTGCAGCCTCCATCGAAAATGCAGCCGCTGCAGCAGGGATTCGATCCCGCGGCCCGCTTGTCAGCAGCCAAGACTAGACAGGGTTACAGCTACTAGACCGAAGCTAGTAATGTTGAGTGCTATTAGTGATCGACTCGCTTTGCTTAAGTATATTGAGGGCTCTGCAGGGGCCTAATATTTTAGGGTGTCGATACGGGCATGTTGGTATTGCAAATACGTGATGGTATCGCAGGTGACGGACAAGGACAAAAGAATGGTATCGCTGTGTTGTGCCGAGTATTTCTTTCTTTCATCGTTATCCTTAGCCTGCGCTACCATCAGGTATTAGGCCTAATCCTACACAGAAAACACCGCGCACCGTTGGGTGAAGGGGCGGCCGCAGACGGGGTTGGTTTGGTGAGGCTCGCGGAATCATGAGCACTCCCTTCTAGGACACTAGGCAGAGTGTCGATCGAGGCGCACTTCGTAAAAACAACTTTTATACGCACCGAGATCATGCGACACGCGAAGTTTCTGAAGCTCCTCATATTAACGGTATAGGACACCCTTCGGTATCGGTACCCCATCTTTGACCATATCTGGCAAAAAGAAGTTGTTACGCTCATGAAAAATGGTTAGGTGAGGAGGAATAACCTGTCGCTTTATGCCTGTATCTATTCTCCGTGGTTGCATTAACTAACGGTACACATGCGCAGCTGGCACGCGAGGAGAAAGTCGGCCACATATTTTCCCGCAATAAAACCTTCAGTAAGCGCTTGTGTTGTGCCCTTTCTTGTCACCGTAGCGTTAGCGTCTCGAAAATGTTAAGTATTAGCCAGTATCCACTAGCTCGCTTTTCTTCTTTGTTTTTCTCTCTCGTGTCAGTCGATTAATTTTCATTGATATTTTCCTCTCTATCCAATCTCCCGAAAGCTTCCTATGCCTCAGGTGATTTCGCACTGCTCACCATTGACCAATCAACGTTGTCCTGTGATGACGTTGCCTGATGACATCATGACATCGCAATGACGTCACATATTTTTTCCGTTCTGCGATGTCATGCTGACGTTGCATGGTGGGACCATGGTGTCCCGTCATTGCTCGGGAACGGTCGCGCGAGTTCTCGGCGAGACCTTGCAATACTTTAAAGGGGCCGACCACCAATTCATGGGTGCACTCTGTCCTATTTTGTCGGTCTGCTCAGCCATTACTTTTTTTTAGCGTAATGCGCTACACCAGTGCAAGGTTTCTGTTACGTTTAAGTACAATTTAAAGATATGAATCCTGCTCACAATGCGAAAAAAAATGCTGCAATCTGTGAATATATGTCATAGTCTTTTCATTTCAGCTAGGATCTCATCACACCTTCTGGCCAGTTGTCGGTCTCTTTAAGGGAGTGGTTCTAGATTCAGATTCGCGAAGCTATTTTCGGCGGTGCGCGAAACCCCTCCTCCAAAATAAAACACTTTTTTGGGGAGCCCACTGTGTATACGTTCCGTGAAAGCGGCCCCTTTTGATTTTGGTTTGCTTCTTGGCATACTATTTTTTGCCTGCTACGAAGCTGACATGTGCCCCTTTTTCATGGGATGACTGTGAAGTTTCGCTGAAATTTTCTACAATAAAAACACGTGAAGATGCTCTCCTAGACTTGAATGATTAAAGGACAATATTGCTAGAAACAGGTGCTTCTACTCACCTCAAAACGTATATTCAATGTCTTGAAATGAACGAAGCACTATAGTCTGACTTTTTTTTTTGCCAGGTAAAAACATAAGGTACCTATTTCATGCTGTACAAAAGCCAAAACAACCAGGATGATATCGTAAGAAGCAATAGTAGCCTAGAGGAATTCGACTTCCTACCAGTAACGACAGGAAAGTAAGGAGAGCCCTAATGTAAATGCAGAGAGACAAAGCCGCTGGTGAGGATAAGGTATAACAACGGGCCTGCTGAAGGATGGCGGAGAAATTGTGTTATAAAAACTGGGCACCTTATATACGAAGTGTCTCTTGACGGGAATGGTACCGGAATCTTGGAAGAACGCCAACATCAATTTAATTCATAAGAAAGGAGACGTCAAAGACTTGAAAAATTACAGGCCTGTTCTCTACAAACTAGGTACAAAAATAATAGCTAATAGAATTAGAGCGACATTAGCATTGACTTAAGCAATGAACCAAGAAGGATTTTGTACAGGCTACTCCACAATAGACCATATTCATACTGTTAATGAGGAGGTAGAGAAATGCGCAGAATACAACGAACCCCACACATAGCCTTTATAGATTACGAGAAGGCGTTTGACTCAGTCCAGACATCAGCAGTGATGCAAGCACTACAGAATCAGGGCATCGACGAACCCTGCATAAATATACTGGAAGAAATCTACACCGGATTCACAGCCACTATAGTCTATAGAGACGCTGAAAGTTGTAAAAGAATATGTCTACTCAGGACAGGTAGTAACCACGGAGCCGAACCAGGAGGTTGAACTGACTAGAAGATTAAGGATGCGCTGTATCACATTCGGCAAGCATTCTAAAATCATGATTGCTAATCTACCACTAACCCTCAAGTGGAAGGTATATTTGCATCTTGCTGGTGCAAAAACCTGGAGGCTAACAAAGAGGGTTCAGCTTAAGTTGAGGACGATGCTGCGAGCGATGGAAAGGAAAATTATAGGTGTAACCTTATGACCCAAGAAAAGAGTAGAGTAGACCAGGAAACAAACCGGGGTTAAGGACATCAAGAACAAGAAATGGACATAGGCCGGGCACGTAGCGCGTAGGCATGATAACCTATGGTCATTAAGGGTAACTGACTGGATTCCCAGAGAACTCAAACGCTTGAAGGGGAGACAGAAAATTACGTGGGCCAATGAGATTAAAAAGTTAATGTGGAAGCAGAAAGCTCAAGACCGGGTCGATTGGCGGATCACGGGAAAGGTCTTTTCCCGTCAGTGGGCGTAGTCAGGCGGTTGCTCCTGCTGATGGTTATAATTATAACGATTTCCTGCTAGATGGTGTGTCAAGTTACGACTCA